GTGGTGGATGTGATCTTTCTCAGTACTACTGAAATTGACTTTGATTTGCTGCGCTTTACATTCCTCAGATTTAACAGTAACGTTTTCAGTAATATTGTAATTTGGCCATTCACTTGCTGGTAAGCTCAGCCAAGATGGTCCGCGCCACCATAACTGATATCGCGCTAGTTTCAGTGAACTTAGTCCTCGATTAGAACAATCAGCCGGATTATCCTCTGATGCAACGTATCGCCACTGACCTTGCTCCGAAACTTCCAAAATTTTATGGATACGATTAGATACGAAAATTTTCCAACGATTTGGGATCTCCACGAATCCATCCCAAAACAATCATTGTATCCGTCCAAAAATGTATGCGTGAATGATCGATAGGCAGGCGCAGGTGTTTCTGCAAAAACTGAACAAGCTTTGCTGCAAGAAGCGCTCTACATAACTCCGCTCGTGGGATAGTAATTTTCGGTTTAATGGGGCAACCTTGCACTTCGCCAGTAGTAGAATGGTGCACCATTTTCCGCCATCATCGTGCGCTCGTAGATAGGCTGCTGCCGAATATGCAAGTGTAGACGCGTCGCAGAATACGTGCAGCTCCTTAGCCGGATTAGTGGCACCAGTATCCAGCCAGCGTGGAAGACGTATTTGGGAGATATTAGGTAGCTCCTCTACAAACCGCTTCCAAGGAGTTTGTATATCGTCTGGCACTGGTGTATCCCAGCCAAGTTTCAATGACCATAATTGTTGCATGATGTTTTCCCTGTAACTATTACCGGATTAAGCCAGCCGAGCGGATCGAATAAAGGCGCTGTAGTTGACAAAATGCTTCGTTTTGTGGCGGCACCACTTGTAATTTTAAAATTTAGATTGAATTCGAAATTGTTAGTCGCTGGGTTACATGATAGGCCCAAAGTTTTTATGGTTTCCTTTGCGTTGAGGTGCAACACACCATGTGTTGCCTTGTTTGTTGTGTTTGTTTTCGAGCAGCTTCGGATTGTTGGCCGCCCATTTGCGAAGTTGA